TTTTCTCTCTCTCTCTCTCTCTCTCTCTCTCTCTCTGTCTCTTTCTGGTCAAATTAAAATAAAATAAATAAGTAACATTAAATAAATAATACTTTAAAAAAAGAAAAGACTATTTCTGAGGCACCTATTAGCCAGGTGACTAAGTTTTGACAGGGAAAACAAGCAACTTTCAGGAACCATACCCCTTCTCTTTTTTTTTTTTTTTTTTGGAGAGGTTTTTGCTATAGGGCACGTGCGCTCGCCAGAAAGACAGAGAGACATAAAGTGAGAAATCCCACAGGATCTTGTGTCACTTGTATACAACAACATAATCCTAACTAATACAGGGTGGATCTATAAAAATACTACTATCTACCTCATACAGTTATTTTAGGGTCTATTCACAACAACATAATCCTAACTAATACAGAGTGGATCTATAAAATACTACCATCTACCTCATACAGTTATTTTAGGGTCTATTAACAATGGATATAAAGTGTTTACTATACTGAGTAACTGAGTGTCTCCATGGGGATGATACTGGTATTTTAAGCAGGGTGATTTTTTCACCATACAGTAATAGCCTATACAATACAGGACATTTACTATACCTGGTCACCACCCATTATTTTCCAGCAGTGCATATCTCAAGACATTGTTAATAACCAAAAAAAAAAAAAAAAACCACTCCTGCACATTTCCTTATGTCTTAGGATACCCATTTCCCAGTTGAAAACTAGTGAAATAACAGATTCTCAAAAAATAGAATCATTGGGACCAGCAGTTAGCATAATGGCTATGTCGCTGGACTCCCACGTGGTCGACAGCAGTTCGTGTTCCAGACCCGGTGGCTTAAAACTCACGCCGGGCGCGTGTGCGTGCATGCCCAAGATCTGGAGAGGAGAATGGAGGAGAAGGGATTGCAGCATGGCCATCCCCCCTGGGGGGTGATTTCTCGCTTTCTGTCTCTCTGTCTCTCTCTGTCTGGCGAGCACACGTGTCTTATGGCAAAAACCTCTTAAAAAAAAATCATTAAGTGAACATATTCCAATCTGGTAACTGGCAGTTCTTTAAGGTTTCAATGGCCTAGGACACCCATGACCATATGCAGAATGATATAACTCACCTCATTTTTATACTGGTCCCTCTCAATACTGCATTTATCCAGTTGTCTAAACACATCATCAAGCTGCACAGCCATTTCATCCATCTCACTTTTACTCTCATTACTGGAGCACTGACTGCATTCAGTCTTCACATGTTGCAAAGTACTACATTGTTTTTTTAGCCTTTCTATTTCTTCCAAAGCTTGCTGATACTGAGACACCATATGGTCTGGACTTTCAGATTTACCATTAATACTCTCAAGTAAAAACACAGCATCAGTTTCAGTAGATTGGTGGCAAGTTTCCTTTTTCACATATTTGTCATTCATTTCTAGTATCTTCTGTTGTAACATTTTGATTTGGTCAGTAAACATATGACACTGTCTTTTATAACTTTCTTTTTCTTGGGTGACTAGAAGTAGCTCATTTCTTAGTTCATGTAATTTGCAGCTAGCCTCATCTGCAAGTTTATCACCTATTTCTTGGGTTTCGTGTATCTTTGCTTCAACTGCTACACAGGAGGGTAGTATTGCTGTATCATTTCTTGCATCTATCTCATCTTCATTAGCTTCTTCCTTTTTAACAACTAGACTTGGTACTTCTGTCTGAGTGGCTGCAGTAGTTCCCTGATCACACTTGGATGATGAGCTGCTTGCTGAGCTCATCTGGCCACAAGGTTCACTATCACCTACACGCTCAACCTGAACACCACTTTGTTCAACGTGACTCTGTTCTGATTTCACTTCAATATCATGATCTACTGCAGGTTTGGGAGTACTGTTTTCCTCTAAGATAATGACGTCTTCATCATCATCATCATCATCATCATCTTTATAAGGTGAATTTTCAAATGACTGACTATTCAATCTTCGACTCTTTGCATTCAAAATTGAGGAACGAGTAGGGAGTCTCCGTTTCAGGCTGGAAAAGATTATAAAATATGAATGTGGACAAATAGATGTGAAGTACACATTCTAACAAATGCACTATTGTAAGTTTTATAACTATCCTGAAATTCTGAGAAAGGTCCATGTTTACATTTTTCTTAAATGACACATTGTACGATGCTGACCACTGACTTAATGATGTAGGGATTATCTCTCCTTTTATTAATAGAAAACAATTGACTACTGAGATCTTTTTGATATACCAGATCTATTCACTGAATATTTCTTCATTTGATGTTCTCCAAATATTTCAAGCACTGAATATCATTTCTTCATTTGATGTTCTCCAAATATTTCAATATATATGTGTCCCAAACAGATAAATTTGCTTTTCCTCTCTAAAACAAACACTCTTTTTTTCTTAGTGTTCTAAAACATTATGATCTCAAGTAAGTCAGCAGAAGCTCTTAGAAAGATGGCCTGGCATCATAAACAGTTCTGCCTGGCAGAGAAGATTAGAGAAGATATATGAAATAAAATAACCTGGACTTTTCCAGCCCAGCATTGTAATCAGTAGAGATTGCAAAAGAGCAACCACACCAGAGAATTATCTTGTGAAAGACTTTGAAGGAAGAAAGAGATTGATCTTTGCTAGCAGATGGTATATCACAGAATACTTGGTATGAGGACTGAATTGAGAAGATTTATGTGTGACTTCTGTGCTGGGCATTTCTTTTTCAAGAATTTGAGTAGTTGACATGTAAATATTGTCTCGAAAATATTTAAAACCATACTGTCTCTGTTGTTAGAGTCACAAACAAAATTATACAGAATTATAAGAAATATTTTGGGCTGGA